TCAATGTGAAAACACGCACGTGATGGAGATTTACCGCTGATTACAGAATCAGCTTTACTGATAAGATGCGCGTTAAATATCGCATGCGATTTATCGTGCAGCCCTACTTTAGTACAACGACAATATTTACATTTGTCTTTATAATATCACATTTAATATTTTCTTCACACAAAATAGGTCATTATACAAAAAACTACATCTGGTTTTATATTTTAGTAATTCCTTGGCATCAAAGTTTGAAATCCTCTGAGCTATAGGCTATACGACGAAACAACATGTAGCCTACACTGTGTGGCGTACCTTCATCATCAAACCGATCCACAATAAATGCTTTTTATCATCAATATACACTGCTAAAAAACTGATTCGCAGCAACCTTTCTTAAAACCCCGACTCCAAGCAGGACAAGTAGGGCTTGTGTTCTGCTCGTTGCGGTGAGCGTCACACACGCCCCCTTTTTTTTATTGCCCTGCGCTACGCGACGCGTGTTGGTTCGCGCTCGTCTTCTGCTGCAGAGAGTGGCGCTCGTGACGTCATCCTGCTGGAGCGGCTGCTGAGCACGGGCGGAAAATGGGCACAGATCTGCGAGGTGAGAGGCACACTTTCTGACACATGTAACATGGTTTGGACGGTGACAATGGGAACTGCGTGTTTCTAGTCATCGGATTTGCTGATGTTAGCAAGCGGCGGTCATGTAAGGGGCTCGAGGAGACGGATTTGTACCGCGACTCGCCTACGTTATTGGAGAAAAATGGTGAAAATCTGTTGAACCGTGGTTGCGCCGTCGGGCACGATTTTGCAGCGAGGTAACATACCTCCAAATATATGCCCATGACCGATATGCTTAAATTGCGTTTGGCATTATTATTAGTTGTCATAAAATGTGGCATCTCCATGGTTAGTATGAAAAGCGGTAGAGCCGCATGCGGTATCATTTCTCACTGATCTTATCCACTGACCCACGAGATTGAGTGAGAGCATGAGCTCCATTTCTGATTATTTAGTGCCTCCACCCTTATCATACATGACATGTTTGCCCACGACCGCATCAGCTGTCAGTGACACGGAGCGCAATGCTGATTATTTAGGGAGAGATCCCATCTGAAATGATGGGTTGTGTCTCAAAACCTAGTGAGCTGCCTAACTAGACAGCGTTTTTAGCTGCCTGCGTAAACATGGCCGTGATGTCGCCGGCCCTTTTCTTGTCTGGATGATTCCAGATTGTGTGGACCGTTAAAAGTAGTTGAATCAGTTTAACAACACTTTTTGCAGTTTTGCTTCCAATCCGTTTTAATCATGATGTCTGTTTGCAATATTGTTTTGATAACTGGCATAGATAAAAGGCGTTTCCCCCAAATAAACTGACTAGGCAGCTGACAGTGTATGAATAGTTACATTTTATGGTTTAAGATTGTCATAAGTACACTGAGAGTAAATAAATAAATAAAATAAAATATCAGACCACTAAAATTGAAAAAAAAAAAGTTTTTATTTAACAGAAAATCTAAGTTGGTCTAAAATAGGGATGCAACGGTATGAAAATGTCTTATCACGATTATAGTGACCAAAATTATCACGGTTATCAGTATTATCACATTATTGTTAAAATGTGCTGGGGATGTTCAAAAAGTACCAACACATAAATCACTTAATCAAGTTTTATATTTAAAAATCAACAAACAACAAATAAAATGACTTCAGAACCTTCAGAGGTACATTCATATAATTAATTCATTCATATATTCATTTGTATAATTCCCTTAGCACTCTTTTAAAACCTCCCTGCTTTTCCGCCCTGTTTTCACTCAAAACGAAACTACTCTGCGCACGTGAGACTGTTACTGAAAACTGTGCTTTATGCTGGACAGTATTTATTTATCGTGAGTTGTTCAAATCGCGGTAATCTAATACGGTTTTAATGATAATTAAAATAGGAAACGGTAATTCTAACCGTCGGGAATTTCATCATGATTTATCGTCAAACCGGTAATCGTTACATCCCTAGTCTAAAATTGTGACTAAAGATTGATACAGGCTAGTTGTTTTCACAAACGATACAGATCATTTTGTGTAAATGTCCCAAAACCAATATTCAGATGTGATTTTTTAAATTTTTTTATTTTATTTCTGCTAATAACAATATCTACAATAATAACTAACTATTTAGTAGACTACTAAATATAGACTATATTTATATAGACTACCTTAAAAATTTAATTAGCATTTTGCATAATTTGCAATCTGTAATAATAATATTAATGCAAAGTTGTTTGTCGATCTTGATGCTCACAAATTCATATTTCTGAATTTTGCTTTGTTTCGGACTTTCTTTCTTTCTTTCAGTTTTTTTAGACTTTGAAGAAATTGTGGTCTTTATTGTTAGACCCAGTAATAAAGAACCAATAACCAAGTAGATTATATTGTTAAAATATTGGTCAAAGCAAATTGTTGCACTTATTTCGACCAATTTAAATGTACTGTAAAGAATATTGATTGAGAGCCAGTGTAGATGTAATTTCTCTTATTATTGTAAAAAAGTCCAAGGTTATCAATGCCTCTTTCTTTAGCACTGCATAATGATAATAATAAGACTTAATGACAAATGACGATGAGACATAGTGTTATTTACTGCTTCAGACATTGGTGGTCCCCTGTGTCTGATCTGCTGTTGATCTCAGGCATGCTCAGGACTGGTTTGTTTACCTCCTGTGTGGAGTCCCGTTTTCTCAGATTTCATGTGTTTGGTTGGGGAAATGTGTAACAAGTTGTTTTCTAAAATTAAGAAAAACAAATATTTGCATTATAAGACCTTTTCATCATATGTAAGACTATTGAAGTCTGTAATTAGTAGTGTTTTGACCGGGATTCAGGGAGCCTTTTGGTAGTATTGTTGACCTCGTGTGTTCAAAAATGCGTTAAGTCCTGTAACATAAAAGTCGAAAAAGACTCATTAATATTTCATATTATTAAATCTTTGGCCATACATTACAATTGCTGATTTGGCAGACAACATATCCAAAGTGACACATTTATAAGTAGGCCCTAGACAAAGTTTAAAACCATTATTGTACTGCAATAATTGTTTGACAGGTGAGTAGGCCATTGTTCAGGTTGCCTGTGATGCGTTAACGTTTACACTACAAATGCAGTGAGGTCGCAAGCATTTCACTGATCAGATCACAAAATTTTGGACCCCGATTACACTGTATTAGGGCTGACCACATGTGATCAGATCATTTGAAACAGATATAAGTAAACAGGGTTATTTCTGCCCTTTTCTACTCAGTTCAGTCAATTTGGTTGGTGAAAAAATTATGGAATAATGATTGTTTTAGCAGAGCTGCATAAAGTGTAATTCCAGAGAGTTCCCAGTTGGCAGTGATTTGTGTTTCACAAATCCGCATTTGGGTTAAAATCTATGTGCTTTAGAGAATAGTGTGAATGTGTTTAAAGTGCACAGAGGAGTGACCACAGGCTATTGATGTTGATTAAACCCAAATATTAAAATGGAAAGCACACAGAGGCGAGATAATGCAGTAGTTATGTTTGTTAATTGCATCTTTTAACACAATAATAATTTTATTTCAGTATGCCTCCTTTCCAGCAACTGAACCACAGCAAACAGTGCACTCAGTGGATGCGAATGTTTGCTAACCTGTATGGAAAATAACATAATTTTGAAATCGATTGGCCTGCATCAGCTAGTGGTACGGAAAGGGAAGTGTGAGAGGGCCTTTAGTGTTTTATTGGTCTTCCCAGACTAGTGGCATGTGATGAGCTGTGGGTAATGAGGGATAATTGGCTCAGTGAAATCCCATGGATCAATAGGAGCCAGACGAGTCTTTCACCAGTGGAGCTTCAACTTTTGGAATCAACCATCCTGAGCAGCCTTGGCTTTCACTGTAATGAAGTTTTGCTGAGGCAGCTGCGAGAATTGTTTGCATGCTTCCTTACAAGCATTAGCAGTGTCCTTGTGACTCTGCTGCTATGCCAGCTGGCTCTTCTGGTTGGGCTCCTTCATGTTATTTTTCTACAGTGACTTTTCTACCTTCTTGCCTATGCTTGAAATGGCATTCACAACCCATTTACCAGTGGAGGTCATATGTGCTCAGAAGTTTGTTTTTGTTTTAAGAAGCTTGGACAAGAATGATATTGAGGTTTCCATAAATGTCCATATTACCAAAATGTGTTGTGGTTCTCGACACAAAGACGGCTAATGTGGTTAAACCAAGTGGAAAATTTTTTGATTTTTGCAATACCACTAGTACATAGAGGTAAAAAAAAATGTATTAGGAAAATTAAAAATGGTCAAGATACTCAAGACTTTTGAAACATTTTGAAACTTGAGATGAACTGACCGTTTTGTAATGTGTTTTTGGGTGTAACAAAATTTTACGTGACAAAACCATAAGGCAGAACTTGATTATATTTTGAGAAATTATTAGATTGATAAGAAATATAAGAGAGCTAGGTGCCATCAAGAAAATCATTCCAGAGGCAGAGCTAGTTGTTAGATTTTGATGAAAGATGAAGACAAATCTTTTTTTCCCTTTAGATTAATGTGCACTGATGAATTATACACAGTAAGACCATGAATATGTAATATGAAATATGTATTATGTGAACTGGGTTTTTAGGTACACATAATTTTTGGACTAAATTTGCATACTGAGCTTACTTTAAAATTTGAAGTTTGGGTGAGGAAGTAATGCTATAGATATTTTTTTCCCCATATGTTTAGTTTTTACAAAAATAAGTCCTTAACTCTTAGATGATTTGAAACAAAAAACAAACAAACAAAGAAAAAAAGGCATAACTGTATGTTTATTGAATGTTAATATGCTAGTGGAACTGTGTAACAGTAGCATTACTAGAGTTAGAGTTCTTTGCTTGTTGTCACTCTTTTGTGATCCAACACAATGGACTATAAGAGCTGAGCTATTCTGGATACTACTTTTATTTCATTTAAAAAACCTACAGGGAAAAAAAACACCTGCATCACTTGAAACATTGAAAAATAGCATAGATAATAATTATTATTATTCTCTCTGTTATTTATTTATTTTTTGTGGGTTTCTTGCTGTCCTCTAAGGCATAGGACACACACACAGGCTTTCCTCCTCGCCAACGACATTAAACGCCATGTCTACACCGGACGCGAGCGGCATAATACAGTAGAACCACTGATCTATAATAGAGAACATTAATAAGTCATTATATAGATCAGTGAGTAGAACTCATTATAATCAGTGACGCTGTGTACACTGGATGCGGCGCGACGCGACAAAACCCGACATTAAACTGATGCCGTGTTCTATTTATGACGTACTGACTACTGACACAAAGTTAAAATGATTTGCAACGGTCGCTTTGTCGCGTCCAGTGTACAGTAGAGCTGTTGCGGTGCGACGCGACATCTGTAGCGTCCGGTATAGACACGGTATAGGCAAGATATGCCTCATCATATTTTCTGCATTTAGCTTTTGAATGACCAGCACCTGCCTGGGTCTGTGCGACTTCATCTATGGCTTTTCTCTTCCCTTTCACAAACCGATCCATCTCCCATTCTAAGTTACGTCCTTTGGCTGT